CAAGACACCGGCAGGCACCGCTCTGGATCACTGGCGGAGTTGGTCCTTAAGGAAGCCTCTTCTGGCTTCTCTGGTGCTTTTGAGCGCTTTCGGCGTTCGTAGGAGAACGCCGATCACGCGCTCACTCACATGCTCAAGATGGCAGCGGCAAGATGGCGACCACCGATCTGCGGTCCGATCCTCCTCCTGGAGCTGGGGAGTGCTGGGGCGATCTCCGATGGATCCCCGGACCTCCGCTGGTCTCGTCAGCCCTTTTGAGAGCCACACGGCCGCTTCTATCGCCCCCGCGATGTGGAGGCTTCCTCCCCCTCGTATGCGACCGTCCAGTCGCTCGGGGTGCGCGTGCACGCTAGCAAGCAGCGAGGCTTGTGTTCTAGCAGCGCTGAGCACAGCAGAGGAGAGGTGCAGCGATGCAGGAGAAAAAACAATGTAAAAATTCTGTTTGCAGAGTAAAAAACCTGTAGAAAAAAATCCTAAGTCTTCGAAGTGAAGGGAGAGTCAGAGATACACTCCTTTCAGGCCGGAGACTGAGGTTAATCTGGGGAGGTCAGAGGAGGAACGTAGGTGTGGCCTCGAAAGATTACCTCAGTCTCCTAGGCAAAATGGTTGGGTTAATACCCAGGTGTTACTCCTCCCACATCTCACTCTGGAAACAGGCAAGAAGTAAATTAGATTCACAGTACATGCCTATTTTATAAGGGAGATAGGCAAGATTCGGCTTGACTGATTGATTGCCTGTTTTAAAAATGAACATGTTGATTTTTTGGAATATATGAGGGTAAAGCTGTATAGCAAAAGTTAGCAACTCACAAGTAAAGAATCAATTGCCTTCCAGATGTAAGATTCTTGTGTATCCTTGAATCATAGCTTGAATAACAACAGGGATGATGAAAATTGTAGTTCGATATCTGAAGGGCCATAGGTTGTCCATCCTTTGAGTTCCTCATTGTACTAAGTATATTTTGTTGGGTTTTCTCTGTTGCATCTGATACAGGTCAGGGAAGAAGGAGTCCTGAAGAAGCAGCTGAAGAAATTATCGATGCAGTGGCTGATTTTGCAGGAAAAGACTTGCCTGGATACTTGAAACTTGTTAAAGTTGTTGTCTTTCAGCCACATATGCAAAAATCCTTTTCCACCATTTTGGAAAATAAAAAAGGACAGGCATTGCCCACTTCCGAATCTATGTTTTCTAAGTTTAAAGGCAAGTTTAAAGTATGGGGTTCATTTACTGTGAATGCTTTTCCATTTTTTCCCGTTGAGTATGCACTTACAGAATTTCCTTTTTTCTTATAGCATTTCTAACTGGTAAGAAGTCACCTGCTAAAAAGAAGAGTTTTATTGCATTGGAAAAGAAGATTGAGATGTCAACATTTGAGTTATGTGGCGAAAACAGGAAAAAAGTGGAAGAGGCTGAAGCCTGGCTAAGGAAATTAGTTTTCAAGGAACAGACAGAAAATCGCATTGTTGATGACTTGATAGACATGTTTGCTGATGCTGAAATCAAGAGACTGAATGATCTCCAGAAAAGATTGCATATTGTCATTCATCTGAACAGGACGGAGTCTCCTCCTTTTATTTTGTTATCTGGTATCCCCCGGGACGTCCTCACTGCTTTCACAGACATCCAGAACCTCTTAAAAACACTTAAAGCTGATCAGGAAAAGAAATCCAAAGCAGAACTTGCTCAAGTTTTGGTTGAGTGGCAGTATTGTGCAAACGGAAATGTCTTTGTAGCTTTTGATACATTTAGTAACCTTGATTTAGAAGATGCTAAAATCAGCAAAAAGAAACAAATTCAGGTCCAGATTCAGGGTCAGAACTACACAGCTGATCTGAACAAAATGTGTGTTGTAGATAGCCAAGGAAAAAGCATGAAAATTAAACGTGTTGGAAAGGATGAAGGTAATGAACTTCTTAAATAATTGGGGTTGAATTAGTGGCTAGATTACTGTTTTGGTCGCATCTCAAAAATATCTTCCTCACTTAAAAAGTGTGCAAAGGGGGTAGGGCAATAGTACAAAACAGTTGAATGTGTGTATCACTAGGAACATTTTTTTAAAAAGTAATCAAAGTGAACAGACCACTTGCAGTCAATTCCATAGTACATCTGCAAGACTTGATCATGTGTAGAGCAGGTTTTCTATCTATTCATTTCCTAGCAAGAATTTTAGACTTGTTTTTACTTTTTGGTAGAAATTGACAGTACAGGAATCTTTTCCCCAAAGTGAAAGAAGCAATGAATAAGTTGATACAGTGCTTGTGACTTCCATTGGATCTAGAAACATATTTCTTGGCTCATATCATGCTTCCTTCTCTATCTGAATTTGAGGGTTTTTAACTTTTTTCTTTAAAAAGAATAAGAATAAATATCAATAAGGCTTCTGTACCATTTCACAGTGCTTTACAGCCCTCTCTAAACGGTTTACAGAATCAGCTTAGTGCCCACAACAATCTGGGTCCTCATTTTCCCCATCTCGGAAGTCTTCCAGACTTTGGAATCATCTTTATTTCTGAAAAAAGTATTTTATTGTAAGCACTTTAGTTATATTTGTAGTATTTAAAAATGGGGACAGGAAGCAGTGGTTGAGAGCATCTCTGAGTAGATGGTTGTTAAGTATGTCTTGAAATTGAATGTCCACTACATTTATCAGTTTCTGGGGGGGGAAATCTGTAACATTTGCAAAAATATAAATTATCTTAATTGATCAGTATTTTTTAAGTGACAAAAAACAATTTCTTACCCTAGAAATTGCCCTTGAAACAAGAAGTACTCTAAAACCATTTGAGCAGAACAGAAACTTCCAAGTTTACCGATAGTTTCCTTTTTTGGAAGCAAAATAGAAAGAAAGGGAAAGTGGTCAGTTATTGGAGGAAAAGAGTCAAAAGAAATGTGATTTATGAGAGAACAAAATGAAAATATAGAAATAGTTGTTTGGAAATAACACTTAGAACTCAGGCTACTTAGTTCGTGAGTGCTGACAGGACAGTTATGATGATGAAAGAAAGTTATCCTATGCAGAGATGCCAAGCCACTGTGAAGATTTTAACAATAAATGTAATGTTCAGTACAAGAGGAGATAATTGCAAATTCCATTGATTTCAAACTTATTCATAGTTCTGTTTTCTGGTGGGTTATGTGACTACTTCAACAAAATGTTTATTTTGCAGGCAAACAATTAGAACGCCTTCCTGAACATTGGGAAGATATGAAAGGAAGCCATGCCAAATTGGTTCCACTACAGCCTACAGCAGGAGAATATAAGGACATTGAAAAAATATTCCGGATTGGCTGCCCTACATTCAGAATTGAACAGGTGACATTTGATCTGAGCTTAAGGAAGCAAATAAACCCAACACACTTATTTTCTCCTATTTTCACCACAACAACAATCCTGTGAGATGGGTTTTGGCTGAAAGAGTGACTGGCCCAATGTCAGGGCCACTTTTGCATTCCACAACTTTATATCCTGTAGAACACCAGTGGGTTTCTGTTTCAAGTTCTTCAGTGATGTTGCGTATCAGTGATTGGCTGCAACATTGGCTCAAGAGTTGGTAATACCTTCAAATGGTAAAAGAATTAAGTAGAATAATCAGAGGTGGGTTCCTACTGGTTTGGTTCTCCCGAACCGGTACTGCCGCCTTCAGAGAGCGAACCGATTCTCTGTTTTTGTTAAAAGAGGGCCTGCCCACCCCTGGGTTATACTTACCTTTATTCAAGCTTCCGAAGATCAGCTGATCCAGGGTGGAAGTTTGAATTGCTGCTCCTCAGCTGTTTTCCCTTTTTTGGGACCAATTTTCATTCAATTCTGCAAAGCACGAGCTCAGCGAACCGGCTAGAAACTCACCACTGAGTATAATGTGAAATATCATGAAAGAGAGAATATTCAGATACACCCTGTATCTATATCACTGGAGTGTAAAAGAAAGGAAGAAAAGAGCTAGAATAACTAGGAAATATGTCACTGAGTTGAAGTCAATGTCCATACTCCTCCTCAATTTTACAACCTAAAAAATAGATTTAATCTTAAAAGGCTTTTATCTGGAGGTCAGGTAGTAAGAATGACACTTACATACCACTCCATAGTGCTTTACAGCACTCTTTGAGCAATTAAAATGTCACATATTGCCCCCAACAATCTGGGTCCTCATTTTACCAACCTCGGAAGAATGGAAGGCTGAGTCAATCTTAGTCCCATCAGAATCAAACTCCAGGCTGTGGGCAGAGTTAGCCTGCATTATTGCACTTCAACCACTGTGCTGCCACCAGGCCTCCTTAGTTTGGAGTCTGCGTTGCATTAGATTGTTGAACTCCTCTCCATGCCCCGCATGGTTCTTGGTCTGCTACATCTTACTTATGAACGGACGTAATGCTTAACAGCCCTTGCTGAGACATTCTTTCTCCACCATTAAATGTCTTCTGATCATAAAGAACACCAATATTGACCATTGATACTGGTGCTGCTGTCTTAGTAATTCCATCTTCTGTATTTCCAAATGGTGGGTATAATAAACCTAGTTGTACAATGGTTGCTTTTGCACACATTTGACCCATTTTGAGTTTAGCAATAATAAAAGTATTCCAAAGGAAATATAATTTTCTGAATCTTGCTGCTCTGATATTCATGAGGAGCACTTTCTGAAGTTCTTAAGCAGATACGGTAGCAGTGATGTCACTGGCCTTTCCAAAAATAACCCATCAAAGAAATTGCATTTACAGCTAGTCCTCAACTTATGACAACAATTGAGCCCAAAATTTATGTTGCTAAGTGAAACATTGGTTAAGTGAGCTTTGCTCCGTGTTCTTGCCACAGTTGTTAAGTGAATCACTGCAGTTGTTAAATTAGTAACACGGTTGTTAAGTGAATTTGGCTTCCCCATTCACTTTGCTTATAACGTTGCAAAAGTTGATCATATAACCTTGGGACACTGGATCTGTTATAGATGTGAATCATCTGAATTTTGATCTTGTAATCATGGGGATGCTGAAATTGTCGTAAGTGTGAAAAACTGTGGTAAGTCACTTTTTTTCAGTGCAGTGAACTTTGGTCACTAAATGAACTGTTGTAAGTCAAGGACTACCTGTATTTTGCCTGCAGTGAACTACTGAGGATATTAGGCATACAGCTTGTGCATATTTTAATGACTTTTATAGATACATTGCTTTTTGTACAAGCATTTTTAATTTTAACAAATACAGCAATGACATGGGCAGTTAATTTAATAAATAAATAAATAAATAATAAATATGATCCCACACTTCTTGAATAAAGGCAATGCAGGGGACAACAGGATCTTTTTGGCAAGTAGTAACAGGTAAGAGACTCCCTGCCAAATCTCCATCGCGACCTTTCTTCTCAGACTGTTTATTTCTAATCTCAGCATAGTCACAAAAGGAAGAATGACAAAACTCACGGGAGATGAATGTAGATATTGTATGGTTGGGAATGATACCGGTAAACAAATAATAACGTTTTTACATTTGTAATCTTTGTAGATTGAAAGGGTACAGAATCCTTACCTCTGGCAATACTATCAAGTCAAGAAAAAGCAAATAGACACACAAAATGGCCATGAAAACAATGAGAAGGTCCTTTTCCATGGGACTCCCCATTCCACACTGGTGCAAATTTATCAGACTGGCTTTAACCGCAGTTATGCTGGAAAGAATGGTAAGGTCCCTCTAAGCAGATGTAAGGAACTATGACATAAAGCACACTGTTTTCAAAAGAGTATAATTTTTTTTTAAAAGCAGCCTAACAGCAACCCCTGCTGTGCCCTTCCCCCCTTTTCCCTTCACTTCCCAAGGCAACTTGCAAGGTTTAGTGAAAAATGTGGCTTGTTTTTGTTTTTTTTAAATCCTATGGAGAAAAACCTTACTGAAAGGAATACACTGTCCAAAAGAAAGTAGAGATTAAGTCTTAAGAGCTTTATATCGTCACATCCTTCTTCAAGAAAAACTTACTATAAGACAGCATTTAGAATCAAAAGTGGCTGATACAATGATAAAATAGATACTTCATGAAAGTATTAAAACTGTCATAAGACAAAAATGCTACAAACATCTTATTAAACACACTGGGTTGGTTGAATGGCCCCTTTCTGAGAGCTGCGCAAACTCAACACATAGAGAGACTCCCATGACCAGCTGCATTTACACATTGGCCAATCTGGTAAGAAGAGTTCATATGCAGTTTTATTTTCTCTCAGGCGAATTTTGAGTCCATCAGGTTGACAGCTGAGAGGAAAAATAGTATTCCCTTTCTAGCCTCTGAGTCAATAGGATTGTGACTGCTGAGTGCTCAGCATCTCATTCTGCTTAGTGGATAGATTGTGGGAACAAAAGGTGCCACCATCCTTTTTCAGTTTTGAGGAGAATGGAAAAACCATGCTATCAGGTCTTTATTTTTCACGAAAATGGTAGTGGTGACAATTCAACTCCCTCCTTACAACGTTCTGTTTGCCTTTCCTAAAATGAGATTTCAGATCAATATAATACGACTGAATAAGCAACACAATTGGTGGCTTTTTTAGAAATACAACTGGCTAGATAACCTTATAATTCATCACTCAAAGCTGAAGTACCAATAGTGATGCTTTCCATTGTTTTGTTTTGTTTTCAATATCTGTTTAATGTTTTAAATCCTTTTTTTCTTGGTTTCAGCTGCAGCAATTGGTAATGGGACCTATTTTGCTGTCAACTCAAACTATTCTGCACAGGACACGTATTCCACTCCAGACCAAAGTGGCAGAAAATATATGTACGTTGCGCGTGTTCTGACTGGAGATTATTGCATTGGCAGATCAGGACAGATTACACCACCATCCAAAAATAAGGCTGGATTTGACTTATATGACAGTGTAACTGACAACATGAATCAACCATCCATGTTCGTTATCTTTCACGATGCTCAGGCTTACCCAGAATATCTAATTACTTTTAGAAGATAATTTAACAGGCAAAAGATGATGTATTTCCCTTTTCCTATCAAGTAATTTGAATGAACCTTTTAAAAATACTTGTCTCTTGAATCTCAATTCATTATTTAGTTCCTCTCTAGAGCAGCAAAGACAAAAATAAGAATAAAATCCAGCAGAGATCAGAAAACGATGTTCAAGAGAGAGGAGGGTAGAACATGAAGACTTTACAGAAATAGAATCTACTTGAAGGAAATTGTAGAACTAAGCATTTCAATCTTGTAAATACAATGTATCTATATAATCAGTGACTTAAGGAATAGTTTGAAGTCTGCTTAACTCACAGTAATCAGATGTTCAAACTGTCCCTTTCAGTTTTAATGAAAGTCATTTTGCGCACCAAATGAAAGAAAACAAAGGGGAGACACTGATGCTTGAAACTGCCAAATCATTGTTTTCCTCTTAATTTTTTTTTCTGGTGGCTCTGTCTACTCTGAATTCTGCACTTTGCTTCATGTCACTTTCCCTGTCCTCCACTGATTTATCTGTATTTGCTAGAAGCATTCGGCACCTATTTCTCCATGCTCAAAAACTGCAGTTCCCTGCCACTTCTTGTTGATTTTACTCATCCTTTAGAAATATAACAGTGATGTCAGCTCTCTCATCCTGCCACATTTTTATTAACTAGGATTGTCTTGGCCTACATACTGAAGTGCCTGCATTTATAATCTTTCTAAGAATTACCTCATTTAATCCAATAAACCATTTCTGGAAAAAATGTTTTGTCTTATGATTATTCTTGGGTGAATGTCGGCTTTAAGGGAGATTTATGGTTTAAACCAGACTTCAGTTCAGATAGCCTTTCAGTTCCTCAATTGGCCTTGCTGAGGAGTGTTGCAATTCATTGGAGAACCATCCAAGGGTTTGGGAAAGCTTACAAAAAAATGAGTGATGGTCCTACCTGAATGCTGTTTCTCCTCAAATGGGGAGAGAGAAGCCAGGAGTGGGTGGTTGCTTCTATCTTCTGGTTGGAGACTGTCATCTTTTTGGTCACACCTCCTCTGCCCTGTGACCTCCTTCCCACTTCTGCGAAGGTGCATCAATGACATGACTGGTAACCTGTGGAAATAAGGANGTGCTTTAATCACTACACCAGACTGGCTTTATTTATGATAATACTTAGAGGACAAAATATAAATAAGGCCCTTAAAATAATTAAACTGAATAGTTCTAAACAGAACTGTTTAAAAATGATCTTTCAGGATAATCAAGGGCCTTGTAAGCAATATGAGGAAAGTATGAAAGGCTGCATTATCAGGATTTAGGTCTGCCTTATAATAAGGTGACTCACTGATTGCATTAGGCTCATTTTGAAGTTTCCTAGTAGCTGATTCATATAACTGTAGAGAAGCTCTCCAGCATAATTGCTCTGCACTTTTTGATAGATTGCTAATCATTTGATTAGAAGGCTACTACTGAGCATGGACCGAAGAGTTCCATTTCCATCTGATAACAGCAGCAGGACAGCAAATAATAGTAGAAAGGTCATTGGAGAACAGACCATGAACAACCCGTAATCATGAACAGGAGAATGGGTACGTGTGAAAAAACATCACTGCTCAAAATCTCTGAGTTCTCAATACCCTAATTGTCTTTGTATTTGTGTTTGAAGGAAAGTGTTTGATGTAGTGCATGTTTACATACTATTGTGGCCCACCAGCGACTAGCGGAGCTGGCTGCAGATTTGGACAGTGATGAAGTTGAGGAGGAACATGGGCCAGTCCTGGAGTCTGGGGAAGGCTCTGATGAGTGCTCTGTGTTAGAGGCAGAGATGGGGCCAGGGCTGTCTGACAGTTATGAGCTCCCTTCGGAGTCAGACATCAGTGAGTCAGGCAAACAGCTGGAGCCTGTTCCCAGTGTGTGCATGCAGACGAATTGCCAGACGAAGGGAACAGCTAAGGAACAAGGGTCAACTTGGGAGTAAGGCCACAGGTGGACGATGAATGACCCCTCCCAGAGAAAATAAAAGATGAGCAAAAGGGGAGTGGAGTTTGCAGGAGAAAATTAGTTTATTCCTGTGTTCTTGCCAAGTATCTGAAAGATATCGACCTGGCCATTCTCCAAGCCTGATAAAGATTGGTAACTGTGAACTATGCTGAAAGACTGTGGTCCGGGACTTTGCTGGAGAGGAATTCACTGTAAATTAAATAAAAGGGGTTTATGGGGACGAGGACTCAGTTTCGTGATGCTGGGGAAGCCTAGGTCAGAACACATACTCGAATAGTATTGAAGTATGCATGCATATGGGTTTTTACGTTCATAACCACAATTGGGAGCTAATGTGGTTGTCACAACTGAAAATATTGCCTAATTCTAATGAATAATCCTTCATTTCCTATATCCTATAGGACCCGGATATCTGCGAGACCGTCTTCTGCCACATACCTCCCTACGGCCGATAAGGTCTCACAGGATGGGCCTTCTCCAGGTGCCGTTGACCGGACAATGCCGGCTGGCAACTCCTCGGGGAAGGGCCTTCTCTGTAGCTGCTCCGACCCTATGGAACAACCTACCCCCAGAGATCCGGACCCTTCCCACTCTCTCAGCCTTCCGAAAAGCTACTAAATCCTGGCTATTCTGGCAGGCCTGGGGCTGTTGACCCATGAATGAGGTCCAGCCCCGCCTAGATTGAGTGTATGATGTGTTTCCTTTTTTTAATCTGTTTCTCTTTCCTATTTTTAAATTTTTATCTTTTTTAAAGTTGTATGCTGTAAGCCGCCCGCAGTCCTTTGGGATTGGGCGGCATATAAATTCATTAAATTTCAATTTCAATTTATCCTGTCTACCACAAGATAGGACCATTCACCTATGCAGCCATTCTTTCTTTCTTTAAAACATTTATATGGCAACCCATTTTCCAATCAATTCTAGGCATCCCCAATCAAATATTTAA